CACCAATGGCCATAAAGAGTATCCTATATTTCCCAGATGGAGCCACTTTTATTATCTGTGTAACTCTTTGCAAAGGTGACCACACATACTGTTTTGAAATATAGAACAGCTCCAGGGGATGCCTGTGGCCCTTGAGTAATTGTTCATAACTTTCTCCTTCTTTCTCAAGTCTCAGGTTGCAAGGTGAATGCTATGCTTAATTTTGACTTTAGACGTCTGACTCCTTTTAACTGGCTGCATACTTGGATTCATTGCTGCTGGTCTCTTGCAGGCCTACTCTCCTTGTGGGAAGACTCTTACCACCTCTCATTAGCTGACATATTGACATAACATCATGATTGTTCTCAAACTGACATGGTATCAGCAGGAGAAGAGAAAGTAACAGCTGGATGTTAGCAGGGTCCAGTCCCCATTTCATGAAGAACTATCCATCCTAGGGACCCAGGCCTCTGGTACAACTGAAACTCTATGCATTAAGAGTGGTTTATTCTTCCCCAATCTGTAGTTGATCTTAACCTTGGCCACACTTTATATTATAGGACAAAGTCACTGGTTCTCCATCATCTCAGAACACACAAGGAGAATCCCAGTCCTAGAGTTTTACCCTGAATATATAGATGGGGTTTGCATTACCTCCGCAAGGCCTGGCTGTGAGGTATGCACACAGCTTTCTCATCACAAGATCACACCAGGGAGCTAACGGCCTGGAGAGGCTGGGCAGGGAAGAGCTGAGTCAGCATCCCCAGTCAGCGCAGGGGATGACTGTGGGGAATAGTGAGTACTTGAGGAGGCTGGCGAGGACATAGTACATTGTGAAATCAGCAGAAAGTATGATCTTAAATTAAGGTGAAACGATGTTTAAATGATACAACCACCTTTAAAAACAGTGCAATTAAAAAAAAATAGAAAATCTTCTTCTATCAGCTTACCTCAGACTTCTTACTCCAAGGGGAACTCTGTGCCCATCAAGGGCAGATGCAGTTGTGGGAGGGGAGAAGGGAGCGGGCTAATACTACAGCATGCTTAACATAGAACATAACTTTTCTTATTTCATTCTGAAGAGCAAGCTGCTAAAGAAGGCATCCCTAATGTCTATATTATAGATAGGAAAATTAGTAAGAGCAATGAACTTGTTCAAGGTTTCAATGCTTTGGAGTACTAAAGATAATTCTTTCCTCGGTCTGACAGCAGAATCTTATACACTTTCATACACTGTGTTTAGAGGCAGATTTTAAACTAAAGATTTGCAGCTTTCATGGGGGATTTTTTGGTGTATTTTTGTTTTTTGAAACAGGTTCTTGGAATGTATTTCAGGCTGGTCTTGAATTCACTATGTAGCCCACCTGGCCTTGAAGTTGTGGTGATTTTCTGCCTCAACATCTGAAATGCTGAGATTACAGGCATGTACCACTAGCATGGCGTAAGAATGGATTTTTAAGACAACTGCTATAGAAAAAGAAGTTTTTAGGGATATTAAAAAAAAAGCCTTTGGTTATTCCTAATTCACCTAAAAATACAATTAAGTAAGAATGTGTTCAGTGGTGTGCTGGTAAATCATCCCCCTAAAGAGAAACAAACAAACATGCCAACAACCCCCAATCATTGGCTTGTAGCTGGCCATTTTCTTTGCTGTCAATATTGCCATGTGCTCTACTGCATGTTCCCAGTGGTTTAGCATCTAGCTCTCCCAGTCCTGAACATGTACTGAATCATCAGCTCTCTAGTGCTGGGAGAAGCCTGCTGTGGCTCTCCACTGGGGACATTTACTCCAGCTCTGTTTTAGCTCAACATGTGGGTCTTGTCTTGGGCATAATCAGTAAGAAGCCTCCTCGCTTATGAATGCTCAGTGTGTGGGACATGGTGAGGAACCACCCAGATTTCCTTTCTTTGAAGACCTGTCACTCCTGTTGGGAGTGTAGTCAGTTCCCTTCAAAAGCTGCAAAACCTGCAGAGAGCCATCTCACCCAAGGTCCCCTCCTTTCCAAATGCAAGAGCAGAGCAATTTGATTGTTCAGAGACCCTGCCATCTGAGGTGAAGTGAGGCTGACTCGGAGGCCCCAGAGCTTCCCAAGGAGCCCAAAAATGCACTGGGCATCGCCGCTTAACTTCCCCATCTGCCACTAAGACTTCCATCCTCCTCTAATTATAGGTGTGGTCTAAGATGCACTTACTAAACATCCTGCCCACTAACTCCATCTCAGGTTGCCTGCTTTCTGGCCAACCAACAGCAACAGTCTGGAGGGCATGGGAAGAAAAGTAAAGATATCCTGGCTTTGTAGCCTGTTCTTGTTCCACACTAGTCTGGGGGAGAACTCCGTAAGTCAGTTTCCAGTTAACCTTGTGATGAGAAAGGGATCTGAGAGAAGCAGAGGAGAGAACCCCCAACTCTGGACAGGCTTCAGTGACAACAGGAGACAGCCTGGTTACCTATCCTGCTGCTTTGTGTGCTGACCCCCATGAGCCAGCTCTGTGTGCACCTGACCCCCGCTGTGTAAACTGCTGAGGAGGAGCTTCTTCCTGACATGAGTAGACAAGGGAATGGAGCCAATAGAACTGTATGTATAACCAACCGCCTGCTGGAGACCAGCGATGATAAAGAATAAAACAAGGAGAAAGCAATGAAACATCTGTTTTAAATGCTGTCTACTCTGGCTTAAAGCATAATGGGAAATCTCTTTTCATTTCCTTCAGTTCCTGTTTTCTGTCTTGTGCTCAGCATTCTGCTTTGCTTTGTTTGTTTTTTAAATAACTTTTTAATTTTTATTTTGAGTATATTGGTTAGATATACACAATGATCACATTCATCATAGGGAATTTGTACTTATGCAGAACACATTCTTTTTTCTTCTTATAATTTCTTCCTATCCCTTTAACCCCTCTTGCCCTCCTCATTTACAAAATTTTGTTTCCATTTTATCTTTCTTTATCACCCCCATACCTTTCCCTAGTTTCCATTTCCTTTGGACATTTCTTCCTGTTTCACTATACCTATTATACATTTTGGTCTTATTTACCCTTTTGATTTCTCACACCAGAGAAATAGGATATTTACATGTGTCTGATGTATTTCACTTAAGACTATGGCCTCAAGGTGCATCCATTTACCTAGGAATATCTCAAGTTTTTCCTTCTTTATGGCTAGGAAGTACTATTGTATAAAAGGACCACATCTTTTTCTTTTTTCATTCCTCAGTTGATGGGTATTTGGGTTGTTTTCAAGATTTAGGTATTACAAACTATTCTTCTATTAGCATGGGTGCACATATGTCTCTGTGGTATGACTTTTTAAAAAAAAATTCTTCTTAGAAAATAATCAGAAGGGGAATAGATGGTTTGAATAAGACCTAAAATCTCAGTTTATAAAGGAATATCCATACTAATTTCTTGGAAGTGGGAACCAGGGATTGAACTCAGCCCCTTGTGCTTGCCAAGCAAGCTGATATTCTACTGAGCTATCTTCCCAGCCCCTATCCACACTAATTTCTACAGTAGTTATACCAATCTATATTCCCACCAACAGTGGGAAATTATTCCTTTTTCCCCCACAGCCCCTTCAGCATTTGTTGTTGGTTGACTTCTTAATAATAATCATTTTTCTGACATTCTTTCTTTAGTTTGCATCCCTTGAATAACCAGTGAAGCTGAAATTTTTTTCATATACTTGTAATTTGCATTTCTTACTCTGGAAAGTGTGCTTTCATCTCAGATGCCCATTTTTAAACTGGGTCTTTTAATTTGGGGGCTACAATTTTTTTCAATTATTTTTATGTTCTAAACATTAGTCTTTTAACTGAGGGAAAAGTGGCTGAAATTTTTTCCATTCTGTTTGTTATCTTTTTGCTCTATGAGAAGTTTCTTTGTTGTTCAAAAGGTTTTTTTAACAAGATGAGGGCTGGTGAGATGGCTCAGTGGTCTAAAGCACCTACTTAGAACAAGCTTAGCAAAGCACAGGGACCGAAGTTTAATCCCCCAGCACCACATGCCAGTCAGCCCCACCCCCTGGTGGGCTGAGCTGGCCACACACATAAATAAATAAATAAATAAATAAATAAATAGATAGATAAAAAGAATTACCAGCAAGATGAGATCCCAGTTGCTGATTCATGTAGTATTTCCTGTGAGATTGGGTTTTGTTCATGAAATATTTGCCTACACTTCTGTCTTCAAGTGTTTTGCCTATTCTCTCTTCACAGGATTTAGTGTTTCTATTTTAATTTTTTTTGAGGGGGAAGAAGTCTTTTTATTTTTTTTAAATTTTTTTCCCATGATTTTATTGAGAAACAAGTAGTAATGAGACAGTTTCAAACCAAATTGGTAGGACAGTTTCAATAATTAACACATTGCATACATTCTTCCTAGTGGTTAATTGCTGTACAAGATGCAGACATGATATCCTATTTACAAACACCATTAGAACAAATCACTCTATTCATTAAGAGAATGTAACCATATGTCTATCCTAACCACTTTGAATACACAGATACAAAATGGACATTCATCTGTTTTAATATTTAGATCTCTGATCCACTTTGATTTTTAGTTTATTGCATGATAAGACATGGGTCTACTGTTAGTCTTTGGCATGTGGAAAGTCAGTTTTTCCAACACCACTTACAAAAGAGGTTCTTTCTTCCAGTAAACATGCTTGGCCCCTTTATCAGAGGTGGCTAAAAGTGTCTGGAGTTTTTTCTAGATCTTCTAGTTTGTTGCACTGATCCTCAGTTCTATTTTTTTGCCAGTAGAATGCAGCTGACTTTGTAGGATAGTTTAAAGATGAGCACTGTGACTCTCCATGCTTATTATAGGTCTCTTCTGCATCCAAATGAATCTTAGGAATGTTTTATCTAGATCTGTGAGGTATGCTAATGGTATTTGATCAGGACTGCAATAAATCTGCACAGCAATTTTGGGAATATGGCCATTTTTACTATGTTGGTTTTTCCTATTGATGAGCAAGGGATATCTTTCTAATTTCTGATATCTAATTTCCTTTTTTTTAAAATTTTATTTGCATTTATTTTATGCTTAATTTATTCCCGTGCCATAAGTTTTTGTTTCTTCAGTTTCTTCTGGGATATCTTTTTCTTCTGTGCAACTTCCTCTTCTGGTTTGGGAACAATTTGTTCCTTTTCAGTAAGGATCATCTCAATATGGCAGGGGGAGCTCATGTATGGATTAATCCGGCCATGAGCTCTATAAGTACGGCGGCACATCTTGGGTGCTTTGTTCACCTGGATATGTTCAATAACCAGAGAATCTACATCTAAACCCTTAAGTTCAGCATTACTCTCTGCATTTTTAAGCATGTGCAGCAAAAATTCAGCACTCATTTTGGGCCACCGACCCTGTGTCCAGCCCCACTGTTTGGCCTGGGCACACCTACCAACTCCACCATTGTAACGCCGGAATGGTACACATTGCTTCTTTAATGTGACATCCTTGAGATACTTGGTGGCCTTTCGAATATGCATACCCTTGATGGCCTGGACAGTTTCACGCGTTTTCTTAAAGTGAACGTGAAGATTTGAGCCTCTTGATTTGCATGATTTTGTGGGGTTTTCTGGGTCAAGAGAGTAGCGAACCATTTTCACAGGTCACCTAAGGCCACTTACAGGAAGAGCCTAATTTCCTTTTTTGGGAGTAATGTAATTTTCAATGTATAAATCATTTATTTCCTTTGTTAGATTAATTCCTAAGTACTTCTTTTTCTGATACTACTATGAAGTGTGTCATTTCCATGATTTCTCTATCAGTGTTGTTTATTGTTTTTTTACAGGAATGCTATTGATTCTTTTAATGTTGACTGTACTCAGCTATGCTACTAATACAGATTTGGGGGGCTTCTATATAGAGTATTGTCTTCGGCAAATAATAATTTAGCCTCTTCCTTTCCTATCCTTATTCCTTTTCTTTTTCTTATACAATTGCTCTGATTAATGTTTCCAGAGCTACATTAAATAGGAGTAGTGATAGTGTACATTTGTATCATGTTCCTTATTTTAGAGTGGAAGTTCTCAGTTTTTGACTATTTAGTATGATGTTGGCTCTTGGCTTTACATAGATGGCTTTTATCATATTGAGATAAAGACCATCTATACCAATTTTCTTTAGGTGGGTGTGGGATTTTGTCAAATGCTTTTTCCGCAGGATCCAGTTTAAAAAGAGTTTTACATGCTAAACTATCTAAGGAATATAGATGCAGAAATGCTTAATAAGATACTGGCAAACAGAATGAAGCAAATCATCATCATCCCATGATCAAGTGGAATTCATCACAGGCATGCAAGGATGGTTCAACATGTGCAAATCAATAAACATAATGCACGACGTTAACACAGCCAAATCTGTTTTGTTTTGTTTTCTCTCTCCCTGCTCTGCATCTCTTTCTGCCTCACTTCCTACCAGATTACTTGGAGGAAACTTCTAGCACCTCAGCACACTGACTAATAAACAAAAATACCAAAGCCAACATGCTTCACTCAAAGGAAAATAATGCTATATATATTTGGATACAAAATAGCCATTAATTAAGGTGGAACAAGTGAAAAGTAACAACAAATAACATGATAGATATTTACCTCCATCATCTCTTCATTTACAAAGACCTACAGTCTCTACCATTTGCCAGGCATGCTGGACTAAATAGGGACCATTAAATAGAACTAATCTGTGCTCTCTGGTAGCCTATAGTCTAGTAAGGAAACAAGATTAATAAAACAGGGGGCTGAGGAGATGGCTCAGTAGAATAAGCACTTGCCTGGCAAGCACAAGGGTCTGAGTTCAATCCCTGGTTCCACCAAAAAAAAAACAAAGATTAATAAAACAGTATAGTATACATATTCTTACAGTTTAGCTAAGATATAATGGGAGAATGATGGGGTTATGAGGCTATGGGTTTACTATACAAAATAATGGGATGCTGGAATACAGAAGTTTGGAAGCATTTCAGTTGGGGACAAGTGCTCCTATAAAGCTAACCAGCTCTTAAGAACATCCCTGTATCAGGCCAAGAGCACATGCACATATGGCACTTTGAGACTCAGTGTGGAAGACTTCTGACAAGTGGAATTTTTAAAGAAAGATAGTGTGAGGCTGCCCAAACAGCTCAGCAGACTAAAGTTCCTATTTAGGCAGTCCCAAGGACTGGGGTTTGATGATCCCTCACATGCTGTACCAGCCCCATCTGCTGGGGCACACTGAGACAGCGATTGAGACTGGGCGTGGTGGTGAGCATCTAATCCCAGCACTTGGGAGGCTGAAAACAGGAGAATCAATACGAGTCTGATCTGTGTAGTGAGACCCTGTAGACCCTATAGGTCCTGTACTAAAATACAATAAAAAGAAAGTGTTGTGTTTTTGTTTTAGTCTGAACGTGGGAATCTTAATCTCTTATGGAACAGCAGTTGAGAGGTGGGACCTTTTAGGCCAAGAGGACTCTGCCCTCATGAAGGAATCAGTGCTATCATCCCAGTGGTGGATTAGTCACCATGGGAGCAGCTTCCTGATAAAAGATGAATGTGATCTCCTTTCCTCCGTTCATGTTCTCCCACCTTGTGATGCCTTCTACCACATTATAACACAGCAACAAGGCCCTCACCCAATTGCCCCCACAGTCTTGAACATCCCAGCTTCATAACTATGAGCCAACTCAAATTTTGTACTCTATAATTTTCCTGGTGTGTGGTATTATATTATGATTGCCTAATGGATTCAGACAAGTATCAAAAATGGTGAAAACTAAGGTGCAACTCTAATAAAAAATGTTACATTGGTTCCAGAGGTGAGGGGCATCCATATTCTAGGAGGTGGAGAAGATATTATCAATGTGGACTGAGAGAGAGAAGGAGAGAGGGAAGAAGGGAGGTAAAGAAGGAGAGAAGGTGGAAGGGAGGGATAGAGAGAAAGAAAGAGAGAAGAGATAGATTGCTTTTGTGTTTTGTATTGATGTCAACCTTTCTAAATTCTACTTGGGGCTGGCCAGACAGCTCAGCAGATTAAAGCACCTGCTTAGGCAGATGCAGGGACCAAGGTTCGATCCCCAGTGTGCTGTGCTGGCACCTCCCCTGGGGTGTGCTGAGATGACAATTGAGATTGGACGTGGTGTGTGCCTGTAATCCCAGTGCTTGGGAGGCTAAAAACAGGAGAATTACTATGAGTCTGATCTGTGTAGTGAGACCCTGTAGACCTTGTACTAAATACATAAAAATAAATAAGTAAATTCTAC